CTAGGGATCTGGGGCAAAATCAGTACTTGGTCCTGCTAGTGAAGGCAGGGGGTTGGATTTGATGACCTTTCAGGGTCCCTTCCAGTTCTGTGAGATAGGTATAGCTCCATATATTCTATTCTATAATTTAAACCTGGCACCTGTGTTAGCTATGAGAGCCTGGGCTACCATATGGGCAGCAGCACTGCCTGGAAAGTCTGCAGCCTGCCCCCGACAAACTCTTTAAGCTAGGGCTTGTGACGTATGGAGGAGTCCTTGGAGGATAGCCTTGTGGCTATGTGCTACAGTACCTGAGCCAGGGGAATCCTCCTCCAGCTGGAACCGAGGCCTTTAGGGTCCCTTTACACCACTGGGATCCAGTGTAAAGGGATTAGACTGAGGGTGAGGATCTCACCTCTGAACCCTTAGCTGATCTGCAGCATTCAATCAGGCATTAGGGTGGTGACTGGAAAACCAGAGTGGTGTGTTCACATCAACTCAGGAAGCTTAAGCAGGGGGTCTGCCATGTTTTGAACCACCTGAGGGTTTTCACAGCTCTTGTTTACAGCCCCAGGTGCAGCATGTTACAATAATCAAGCCTGGAGGTGACGAGTACATGGATCACCAGGGCCAAGTCTGCATCTGTCTGGGTGGAATGTAAGTGGAAGACACATTGTTAGCAGCTGTGGTTATTTTGATATCTGGTATCAGCAAGGAATGTCAGAGTATTCCAAAGCTACATACCATCTTCATGATCTGCAGGCAGACACCCTTGATTTTGGGTAATGATCTGATACTTGTTAGTTCTTTGGAATGGTTTTCCTCCACCTCCCAGTGCTGTTTCAGCCATTTGCTCTTCATCCATGAACTAGTCTTGTTTAGGTAGCGGTATAGCTGGCTTTGGTGCTGTTTGCCTACAAGGTGAAGGATATCTTAAAAATGGAATGGACCAGTCACATCCCCGTGGTGGGTGCATTATATAAACAGAACAGGCCCCAGCTAACTCTCCCATAGCTGTATGAGCACTGCAATGGTAACTGCATTTAAAACTTGTTTGAATCAATACAGTGAGCAGATATGACTCACGGGGCAGGTATGTTGAGTGAGAAGGTGCCAGTTCTTACATGGTGGGCCAGATTCATTCCCTGTCTACCAGTTGAGTTGCACCAGGAATGAAGTTTGGTCCACCTATTTTTCTGGCTTTAACTAAACTTTAAGACCCAAAGCTCATCTCAGAAATGAATCTTTCACAATCCACTGAAAGAAAAGAGGAAACACTGTCAAAAAGACGTGGACCTTTTTTGGCCCCCTGCTATTTTGTCTGAGAGCCAACTGTCTCCTTTCTCACTTTCCCTGCTGCATTAGCACATTGGCCTTATGAAAGTGAAGAAGTAAGCTGCAGCAAGGTGGTTATTCAGCAGGCAAGTTCACTCTTCATGGCTTTGCTTGGGATAAAGTTTCTGTTTCTTTTAGGTCAGAAAACTATTGTCCTGCATAGAAAAGCAGACATACACTTTAATAAGCCAGCAATCTTGAAAATGAAGTGCATTTCTACTATAGACGAAGGCATATATGTGCCCCCCACAAAGAGGCAATGCACATTCTCTCATGCTGCCCCATCATGTGGTAGAGACCCTTTAGTCTGCCTGAACCATCACTTGCTACATAAGCAGGATGACTTAAGTATTCTTCACTCAGCTGCTGCCACTCCATTTTGCCCATGCTTAACTGTGCCATATGTATATACTGTTGTATTGTGTATATCATATGTGTTCTTCACGTAGTATAGCAGATATATATTTTTGCTGGTGCTATAGGCGGGGCTGATTAGGTTGCTCTATTATTAAAGTTGCTTGACACTTCCCATTATAATACCTTGTTTTCAAACTTTGCCAAAGTGTAACTGTTTGGAGGGAAATTTTGAGGGTCTGCCTCAGGCTGCCTGAGGGTCTGCCTCAGGCTGAATTGTTTAGGAAAATTTCAGACAAAATGGTTCAGCCATTTCTGAGAATGAGGCTAGGGGAAAAATATGCTTATTTGCCCTTGTTAAAAAAAATTCTGGCAACTTTTTTGTGTGAAAAATTATAGCGCCCCCAGGCTTTGAACCAGGAACTCAAAATTTGGCAGGGGGGGTGGCCTTTGTCGCAGGCATGCCATTTGTTGTCCCCATGAAAGCTGCAAAAATTTGGCTAAGTTATTATAAGCCTTTGAAAAATCAAATTTTGCACATGCTCAGTAGAGACTTTAGCTGCTAAATTCCCAGAAGATTCCATCAGCATTGAGCCTGTTTCTCTCTGGGGCTTGGGACTTGCCCTGCAATTGCAGCCCTGGGCTACTGTGTGCTATGACAGTCCAGGCACCTGATCTAAGAGCAGGGAGCCTGGCTAACCTTTGCTCTAAATGACACCCCCTCCTCCATACTTCTGGGGCCCAGGCAGGTGAAGGAGGAGCATTCTGATTGAATGACAGAGGAGACAAGAGCTGAAGCTGGCAGAGGGAGCAGATTGGGAAAAGAAGCCTAGGAGGTTGGGAAGAACAGGAATGGAGGCGGGGAGGGGCAGAGTGGGAAACTGAGACTGGAAGTTGGGGTGGAAGGCGAGACTGGGACTGGCTGGGCAAGGAGACTGGGATTGGGAGCCAGGGAGGGAACCGGGGGGGGACTGGGAGCCAATAGGTGGGAGGAAATTGAGATTGGATGAGGAGCTGGAGTGCAGGGTCGGCAAGGAAACTTGGACTGAGAACCAGTGGGACAAGGAAATTGAGGTAAAGGGGGAGGGGAGACAGCTCTGAGGAGCCAGGATGTGGGAGAACTGGGACTGACTGAACTGGGTCCAATGGAAAAAATAGTATGTGATCATGTAATTAAAGACTGTATCATAGTGCAAATGCACAAAATGTGGTACAGGAAACCTTAAATCTGGTATTTCCCAACTTCGGAGTGCTTGACTTTGCAACCTTAGTAATGTTCTTTTAACACTGGTTATTATGTGTAGGGTGACCAGATGTCCCGATTTTATAGGTACAGTCCTGATTTTTGGCTCTCTTTCTTATATAGGCTCCTATTACCCCCCACGCCCTGTCCTGATTTTTCACACTTGATGTCTGGTCACCCTAATTACGTGTGACATTTTGTTTGTTCTATCACAGTGTATCTAGAGCTATTTATTATCACATCTTTCTGTACCTCAGTTACCCACTCTGTAAAATGGGGATTATGATGTTTACGCACCTTTGTAAATGGCTTTGAGATCTCTTGATGAAAAGCACCATTTAGTTCTGAAGTAGTAGTAGTATTTTTCTTAGATTGTATGCTCAGATGTTTGGGGCATTAATCTTACTCTGTCTGTTATACACCGTGTAATTTTATTGCACTGTAAGTGAATTATAAAATTAATAAATGATAATTATACACTAAGGCCCCTATTACTTAAGTTTTTAAGGGAGGTTTTAAGTCCCTGTCACCTGTGCAGTTGGGATAGTTGCAAAAATAAGACGCAAAGCTACTGAACAGGTATAGCCCATAAACACAACTGCTGTTGCTGCTAAACTAGCCTCATATTCTCAGACAGACAGTAACAATTAGGCAAATGCCGTACCTTGTTCTTCGAAGATGATTTGTCTCCTGGGTTCTGGCAGGCTATGAGAGAGAGTGGAAGCCACAGATGGGGCCCATCAGTGAGAAAACGTTGCTCACAGCCCAGAAGCATTCCCTTGTAGGAGCTGACATCAAGAGGTTCAGCTATCTTAACCCCTATCACAGTGTCTCTCTTGCTATCAGCAAACAGAGTAAACCCCCCAAACATCAGCAGGATTTATTCGCCCTGGGCAATCAAAGCACCATGATACCAACTTAGGCCACTTTCCTTTGGAAAGCCCATAAAACACTTGTGTGCACACCCAAGGCTTATCACGCCCACTGCTGCCACTATCTGTTCTAAAATGCAGCAGAGATGGGGGTTTCTGGCTGTGCTCAGCTGCACGGGTCATACACAAGCACAAACTGCTGCAGATGGGGAGAAAGTGAAGCAAAATGAGGTAAAAATACTAGCTTTGGAGCAGCGTGCACAACAAAATCGAAAGCAGGAAAGTTATTAGGCCTACCTGGAAAGGGTGGATCCTGTAAGATGCTCCCTCAGGTCACATACTCATCAATCAGCTTGAAGGGCATTTAGCACCTTGCAATAAGTGCTCAGCACTTTACAGGTCATGACCTACATTAACATACACAGAACTGCCCCAGAATCCTTCATTCCTCCCCTCCTCCACCTACATGACTCTTCCCCAACCACCATTCCACTCACTGCCACCACCACATTGCAAAGAAAATGAAACATTCAAGTCTAAGATGAAAAACCTCAAGCTTCTGCTTTATGAAGCCCATAGCATATGGTGAAGAACATGATGAGAGAATCGTATCTTGTACTAGAGCCAGATTACCCAACTCACTTGTGGATTATCGCATCAAAAAGCTATTTCTGCTAGCACATTGACTTCTGCTGGGACCCCTCAATGTACAGTAAACCAACATTTAAAATGTCTCTGTTGGTTTATAATAGAGCTCAGTAGTAGCAATGCGTCTGGGGTTTGCAACAGGGAGTGTATGTTTCTGCTTTTACCAGTAGTATCATTAGCAGAATAAATAAGGTTAAAAAAATAATGGAACTACAATGAATAATCTGGGTTCCTAAAAATCCTGTCCAGTTGTTGTGTCCTAAATGCGCACACAGCTTTGTCATTTCCACTGGCACCTAATCATGCTAATCATTACATTTGAATTTTCCATGCTGGTTCCCAAGGTTTGCTGTGTTATTATAGGTTTGGTATTAGCCTTGAGGGCACCAATGAATGTGAGCTCTCTGCTGTTCACTGACTTCTATTTTGTTTTGCTTGTTGCAGGATGGAGGCTGTAGCTGTCCAGGAGATGTCGCCAAAGCGTTTGGTAAGTACACTATGTCGTGTTCAGCATCAGAGGGCCAAATTAATCTCCGATGACACTCCCATGCAGTCAGTAAAGTTACATCAGTGTGAATTTGGCCTTAAAGATCTAATCAACACCAGGCTATCTTCATCCCTAGGGTAACCCCACAAAAGTTAATACACAAACTATGAATTTGGCCCTACATCTAATTTATACAGTCCAAATTATACAGACCAGAAAGATGCACAGATCAATGTCCTATTTAGAAACTAGACCATTGGGGTGACTGAGGCTGGACTTTTATGATCTGCAGAGACAGTAGCTGAAAGATAAGGGTTACCGCCAACTAGGTTTCACCATTACTTCACCGGGACATTGCCAAATCTGGCAGGCCTGACATTCGGCTTTGTTTTGGTTCATGGCCACACATGCAGTTTGCACTGACCCTCTGTTCTGCCAGCTGCTCGCTGTTGAGAACAGGCTGACAAGTGAAGGTACAATGCGTATGTAGCAAAACAACGATTGCAGGCAAACTCGATGTCCGGGGTAAGTTATTGGGAGTCAGTCACACAGCTGAAGAGTGGAGATTTTATTTTTACTAAGCCTCTGGGGCTGAGCAAGCTTTCAGTATATCCCAGTTAATTATTAAGAGACAGAATTTGTTCTCACTGATATCAGTGGCTTCGGTGGAGTTACTCCAGCTTTACGCTGGTGTGACTGTGAGCAGAATCTGCCTTACGTGTTTTCCGTTGTTCACAGAAATTACAGTTGGGGGCCTGTCAGTCCTAGCAGCAAGGTGGACGCTGGTTCATGTTTGAGCTGGGCAGTCCTGATTTTGATGGGGTTGAGCGCATCCTCACACTGGGCTGGAAGGGCATAAAGACACCCTTAAATACCTTTGGGGGTATTACAACATGGCAATGCCAGGGTGGAACAGGACAACACAGTGTCATTGCTACGTCAGCATGTTATGATGCCAGTGTCACGGCAGGCACTGTGATACAGCATATATCTCAAAAAAGGTACATTAGAATTGGAAAAGGTACAGAGAAAGGCAACAAAAATGATTAAGGATATGGAACAGCTGCCATATGAGGAGAGATTGTAAAGATTGGGACTGGTTCAGGTTGGAAAAAGAGACGACTAAATGGGGATTAGATAGAGATCTATAAAATCATGACTGGTGTGGAGAAAGTGACTAAGGAAGTGTTATTTACCCCTTCACATAACGCAAGAACCAGGGGTCACCTGATGAAATTAATAGGCAGCAGGTTTAAAACAAATGAAAAAGTACTTCTTCACACAACGCCCAGTCAACCTATGGAACTTGTTGGTATGGGCCAAAACTATAATGGGGGCTCAAAAAAGATTTAGATAAGTTCCTGGAGGATAGGTCCTTCTTGGCTAATAGCTACTGATGGTCAGCGATGTGACCTCCATGCTCTGGGTATCCCTAAACCTCTGGCTGCCAAGAAGCTGTGAGTGGACAACAGGCGATGGAACCCTTGATGATTGCCTATTTTCTTCATTCCCTTTGAAGCACCTGGATTTGGCCACTGTCAGAAGACAGGATACTGGGCTAGATGGACCATTGGTCTGATCCAGTATGGCCGTTCTTATATTTACCTGGCAGGAAATTTTCAAAAGGTAGAAATTAGAGGCCTAAACCAAAACCTCAGATCTGCACCAACTCAAACTTTGTGTGAGTGCTGGGAGAGTTGAAATCCAGCTCCAGCTCCGAGGATTGCATATAGCTCCTATCTTTAGAATAGCCAGATGATAAGGGAGGATTAAAGCAGGATCCTTGTGATCTGGGACCCATAGTCAGGAAGCCTCAGTTATGGAGTGAGCTGCCAGGCCCACCACTCCAGCTGAGTGCTGCCAGCTGGGTACTATCGACTTGCTGCTTGGAATCCTCGGAACTATCACAGACCCTTAGTGATATGTGCATGAGTGACATGACCGAGGGATGGGGACCGCTGTTAGAATTGTGTGATTCTGACATGGTTGAATGGTGGCAGCTGTCGCTGGCTTTGGACAGCCCAAAGTTGGGTTGAACCTGGGGCCGCCGTCAGTTGTCTACACAGCCAGCGGGGAGCAAGGCTCCCAGCCTGCCTGAGGCTTAAAATAGCTGTGTAGATAGCATTTGGAAGCTGCAGCTCAGCCTGGAGGTCAGGCTCCGAAGCCTGGGGGAGGGGGATCTGTCTGTCGACCTGGCCTGGGAGACTCATTCCTGTAGGTGGTGTCGATGAATGGATTGGATAGAATCTCCCATGAGGCATTCTATTGTCAGTTGTTCCACAGTCACCCCTGGTGCAATTAGTTCTTTGTTCTGCCAGTCTCTCTTCAGCCTGACCCTGCTCAGTCTCCTGCCGTGGTTGTTGTTAAGGACGTTACAAGCTGAGGACTATGACCTCACTGCATTCCAAGCTGGAGGGGAAGAGACCTGGCCAGTGGAAAAGCTCTTATTTCAATGGGACTCTTTCCAGAAATTAGAACAACAGGAAATTACTTCAAAACGTTTAACTGTTTATCTTTGTAATTCGCTGTGAGTCCAAAGGGTTTCTTTGGGCTGCCCTGAGCAGAAATTTGCTCTCTGAAACCTGTGGCAGTGCAGATGTGGGCGTGGCAACTGACTAGTCAGGATATGCATTGGGGCATTAGAGCCATCGACTGAGACCCCAGATTGCTTCTTGAAGAGAGGGAGGGTTGAGAAACACTTGAGATGACATGATAGGCAACAATCCTGCACTGGCAGCAGGCTGGGCAAAATGGCTGAACAACTAGGGCTGTATCATTCTGAGAGTTGACACAGATTAGGGTGATCTCCTTATAGTTAATAAATTGACGATTGGGAGCCCCCATATGGCCAGGGGCTCATGCAAGTAGATTTGAATGCAGGATTGGGGCCTAAGATAGACAAACATAACAGCCCAGATAGATGCACACCAGACTGGAGGACCTGATGATGGAAGCGTTTGAAGGCAGCATGGAGATCACTGGTGTTCAATACATGGTTATTGTTGAAAGACATTGTGAAAGGAGCAGTTGGAATGGGCATCTGAAAGAACAGCCAGGCTGGTTGGTTGGTGCATAGTGCCAGGAAAGAGGCTCCAAGCGTAAAGGGGGGCATGGAAGGAAGCAAAAAAGGTGAGTGTGACAGGAGGAGGCAAAGGGGCATTGAGGAGGCAGCCAGCAAGGCAATAGGAAGAAATTAAATGAATGGAGGTGCAGCGCTGTGCAGAGCCTTCAGGGTAAGGACAAGCAGACTAAAAGGCAAAAGATGAGGGTCTGCCAGCATGGGTGGCAGGTATCGTAGGCTGGGGAGGATGAGCCTTCCCTAACCCAGGCCGTGGCCCCGCCCATGCGCCACCCTGAGGCCCCGCCCTTGTTCCCTCTCTTCCCTGAAGCTGGCGGGGGCTCAAGTCGGGGTCTGAAGGTCGCACTAGCAGTCTGGTGCAGTTCAGGCCAGCTGGCAGCCCAGTGATCAGGCTGGGCACTGGCCCGAAGTGGCTGGGGCAGGTGGGCTGGGGCTCCTCTGGCCTGCGGGGGGCCCCTCAGGGCTCCAGG